TGTCCAGTGTTTTTTGTTTATATTGGAGACTATTTTATGTCAGGTGTGTTTTCCACCGGCTAGATTGTCTTGTCTTATTGTGTGCAATGGGTTGTGCAGTGTACCTTAAGGTTGTCTTGTTTTATTAGTGTGTGCAATGGGTTGTGCACTGTTTTTTAACATCAATAATGAAGATGAGATTTGCAGCAGCATGGACATTTTATTGCAGCATTTACGGCATGAAATACAAAACACAAACATTCATTAAAGGCGCACTGAACCAAAATTTCAAGCGTCTATGATAGCTGGCGCACGAGTTTTCCATGAGACAGCAGCGACTGGTGTGCGCGAGCCCACGCAACAAAATCGGTGTCAGTGTTCTGCGTTCACTCTTACGATGACAGTGAAATGTGTGTGCTCTAGGGAATAGATAACAAATAGAGACTCTTCATCTTCCCAGCGGTGTCATGTGATAAAACGCAGGCGATTGAAAGTTGTAACGAGCACGTGGCTTCCACTTGCTGAGATCGAAAAACTGTCTTTTTCCCCAGAGCCCACACATTTCACTGTCATCTTAAGGATGAGCGAAGTAGACTGATATAAATTTGCTTCCATGTGCTCGTGCACACCGGCAGCTCCTGGCTCATGGAAAGCTCGTCTGCCATCTAGTATGAACATTTAAAATATTCGTTCAGTATTCTTGAAGGCAACATGTAAACTTAGGCAGAATGTTTTTTTGACAATTGACGGCAAGTAATGTTTATGATAGAACGCTTCCGGGTACCTGACGGCGGTTACCAAGAAAGGGTCGTCTTTGTCTACGAAAACAGTGGTGCTGTCAACACTGGTGTAGACAAAGAAGAAACACTGCTTCAGGTTGAGAATGTACATCAGCATTTGAACCTGCGTGTAGTACCTGTGGGAGGTACGCAGACGCAACTTGCCTTCTACGTACATGAGGTATTTAACGAAGCAAACCTCATTGGTGGAGTCCAGAACTACGGATTTCCTGATGGAGTGTGGGCACTTGATCTCAAGCAAGGTTGGGTCATCTCCTTTAGCAAAAAGGCCATCGGGGCTGCCATCATAGTTACGGCTGCTGCTTATGCCCGAGCAGCCCCACCTACTTCAAGCAAAAAAAAGAAAAAAAATAAGAATTAGCAGCTGTACCCGATAAAGTAGTAATATACCTGACTTATTACTTCATAGAACAGCCACACAAAATTCACATTTCATTGTGCAAAGTTGGAATGTTTTGAACAGAATTGTTGCCTTTCAAACAAATGAAACTTGTTGGACGAAAATACTTATTTTCATACCTCGACGACATGATGTCTTGTTTTCCTTTCAAATTCCTGTCTTGCTACTGGCTCAGTCGATAGGCCTGCGTGAGAAGTTCTTAGCACTCGACCATTAAAAGGAATAACGTGCAGTATGGTTATAATAAATTGAAAATATAATTTACCATAGCGCGTTGCATCAAATGAAAATGGCTTCATTGTTAGGAGGCTCGTGGCAAGCTCCTCTGCCGTCTTTTTTGTCCTCAAGATGGTATGCGCCATAGAGCTCGTTATTCGTATTTGGCGTTCTGTGTGCCATCGGTAATAATATAAATTGCATCATTGAACTGTTCTGGACAAGGCTTGTTGCATGCTATTAATAGCACTATAACTGGTGAGTGGGCCATATTCTGTAGAAACAAAACAAATATGAATGCCACAAAAAGTCCTTACCTTGCACACTTTGACTGCTGCAGTGTCCATGCACATATCTAGGACATTGACACACACAACATTCTTTTCAAAGAATGTGGATTCCTGGCTTGTCATTTCCTGATAATGCTGTCGTGTTGAAACTTTTAACTTGTGATATGACCCAGTCACTTGAAGGGCGCGATATGTTCTCATCTCTGTCCTTGAGAGGACTTCATCAACCGCCAGCCTCTCGGTGCTCAGGACTGTTGCCTCCACGATGCTCTGCAGCACTGGCTAACATTCTAGAACTAGAGGATCCATTCTAAGTTGTCTCAGCACGTTTGTGAATGGCGACTCGATACCATCAAAGTGGTCCAAAATGTGCGACGGTGAAAACGCGGGGGGGGGGGGGGGACGCTTTTCTCCAGCGAAGATCCTGCCTTCTGAAAATCGAGGTGTTACGCGATTTAAAACATATTTCAGTCTGTATTTCCTTAAGGCAGGTGAATAAGTACGTGTTCAAATGTTACCTCCAAAAAGTACACTGATGGGCGCCTTATCCTGCAGTGTCGGCGTTTTTTATGGCTTTCCCCACGTTTGGGGAAGGCTCGTGCACGCTGCTGTTTCGTCAGCGCTCACGAACAAGGTGACGGCGGCAACGTGCTTACAGTCGCCGAGGGCGCTGTAGCGACAGTATCACGTGCAGTCGGTGATTTTTCGCGACAGATGATTGACCTGAATAGAAGCAAAATATAACATACGTAAATTTGAGGCAATTATAGGGAAGTGTCACTATTATTAAAATCAACCTGGAGTTGAAACCTTAAACCGTTAGAACCAAACTAGCCCGTCTTGCTTTCCTTCATGGCACCTACCACTCATCATCGGAATTTCGTAGCCTCCATATCCAAGATTTATCTTACATTTCAAAGTGCCGCGATTGTCCACTAAAATTCAGCCTCTCTTCTCCGGAGCTAACAATTTTCAAAATTCCCCCCTTTTACTTGCTATTGCCGACTGGAATGCCTTACCCGCTCACATCGTCCATGAAACTAATACTAATAAATTTCGCCACATTTGTAACTTCTATTTGTAAGGTGTGATTAGTGAATGTTTCTTTTTTGTTGTTTTACTGTTTACCTTTTATTATTGTGCACTGAATGTTGTATTCATTCCTCCCCTCATGTAATGTATCCCAATCGGAATACCTTTGAGGAACTAAGATCTGATCTCATCTGATCTAAATGTTCATGCTAACTAGCGGCACAAATCCGCCGGATGCTAGTGGGCATGAATTGTTACCTGTTTTTGATTGCGCACCACCTGGGTCGTGATGTTATAGACATGCCCCTCTTGCTGAGAGTGACACTTCGCCGAGATGTCTGTGTTATAAATCTCTTTCATGGCATATGTTAAATAATTATTGCAAAAACAAGAAGTAATGAGAGTTTGAACTATAGACGACGACGACAACAAGAACAGAGGGATCGATGATGACTCCGGCAGCAACTGGAACGAACATGTAAATATTGTACATAAACCCTTCCTTCTGAACGAACTCGCTACATCTAATCCTCTTAACAAAAAAACGCAACAAAAATGGTACCGTAACCCGAGAGTAGCTGAGCCAAAGAAAGGCAAGAAAGACTTAGGACATCCATCGTAAAACCCATCGATCACCTGAGTGGGCTTACCTCAACAAAAATCGATCAACTAACGGCAGCCGCCATCGATCAACTCCAAAGAAGAACCGTGGTTCGATCAGCAATCATCAGGATCATTTCCGAAATCGTCACTCTTCTGGGCATGGAACCAACGTCCATCGGGGAGCTGGAAGAAAATCTTAACATCTTGACACTGAAAGAATCTGCGTTAAAAGAAATCGACGATCAGATTGAGAGAGCCATCATCGATGACACGCTCGAACAGGAGATGGTAAGCGCAGAAGGCTACGCCGAAAGTATTAGCTCAACGAAAACAGAGGTCCTACGGAAACTAAAAGAGCACGAACGAATGACTAACATGACGTTTGACACCTCAATGCCAGGTACAAGTTCAAGACCACCACGGCATATCAGTCAAGAACACGCAACGATCAAGCTTCCAAAGCTGGAAATTGTAACATTTACGGGTGATATAAGGTCATGGCAAGGTTTCTGGGACCAGTATGACGCTACAATCAGCGAGCGCGTCTGTCTGTCTAAAATTGACAAGTTTAAATACCTGAAACGTTACCTTGCAACTAAAGCTTCTGCAGCAATGGACCTTTCCGAGAAGCGTTCTGCGCACGCGCGAGCGCCCGATGCCAAGCGGCGGAAGTCAGAACGAAAAATCAAGGAAATTTGGAAGGAGGCTGTGGATCAGCGAGTAGAACACGTAATTGTAGCATATATATAATTGAGTTACACAAAAAAAGAAAGTGGACGGAAGGAAAAACACGACTTTTGGGTGGACGCCACGGATGCCCTCTTTAAAGTCACGTTGCGCACGCGCCGCAGCTCAGAGAGCGAAGAAACTGGTAGCGTGGCTCCCATTATCAATTGGTAGCGCAGGTACGTCACTTCCACGATTTTTAGTTCGTGCAGCCACCGCCTGGTGCCGTCGGTATGTGGAAAAGGTTCATTGAGGGCTTATTACTGACATCTGAAAACTACACCTTTGCACTGGACATCCTGAAAACAAGATTCGGGAGAAAAATAAAAAAAGCTGATCATAGAAGAACACATGTTACGGTTACTGGCTTTGAGAACAGTTAGCAACTCTCACAACGTGGAGAAGCGCAGGTTGTTGTATGACGAAGTTGAGACAGGAGTCCAAAGCCTTGAGGCGCTTGGTGTCTCTTTAAACACCTACGGGACACTCCTACTAACAGTTCTGCGAAACGCTGTGCCATCAGACATCCAACTAGAATATCATCGAAAAACAACATCGAAAGCGACAAACGACGGCAACGAGCTAAAATAGTTTTTGAACTTCTTGAAAAGCGAAATCGAAAGTCTAGAGCGGACTCAGCATGGAAACCAAAGAGTCCAACCAACTGCCAGTCTGGTTATTTCTTGGAGAAACGAACGACCTAGAAGATATCCACCTTCGACAGCTATGTTCGCAACAGGAACGAACACCGACAAAAAACAGTGCCTGTTCTGCGGATCAGCTGACCACATAGCCACCAACTGTTCGGTTCTTATACCGCTGGACCGAAAAGAAGAAGTTCGGAAAAAGAACAATTGTTGCTTTCGATGCACTAAACCTAACCATTGTGCAAAAAATTGCAAAAGCGCAAGGTGGCTAAAGTGTGCTAATTGTTCCAGAAGACATGCAACAACAATGTGCGACCCGAACTACCATGCATTGGAAAATCAAACTCTGAACAAGCCCTTAATAGCAAATAACGAAGCAGTTCCTACAGGAACTGTGCTCCAGTCCTCACTAAAGGCAACTGATAAGGAACCTCGCCAAGTGCTTCTTCAAACAGCGAAAGCGTGGGCCGAAGGAAGAAGAGACCGTGCGTTCGTTCTGCTCCTGTTTGATGGTGGAAGTCAAGGCACTTTTGTCAGAAAGGGCATCGCGGAAAAACTTAACCTGAAGGTCCTTGAAAAGGAAGACTTGACTATCTTTACCTTTGAAGAAGGCGCAACCACAGCTGCGAGAAGATGTCGAAGAGTGGAACTATGGCTGCGCAATCAATACAGCAGAAAGGACGTACGCATTGAAGCTTCAGAGGTACCACAGATCTGTGCCTACATCATCGCCGCACCACCAGAAATAGCGCTGAGCGTACCTGAAGACATGCTCATTGCGGATACCGATTTCATCAACAAAGAACGTGAGAAAGGCATCAGCATCCTAATCGGAGCTGGCTATAACTGGGAAGTAGTAAGTGGAAGTGTAAAACGTTTGGACAAAGGGCTGATGGCCGTTGACACTATCTTTGGTTGGACTCTACAAGGTCCCATGTCCTCAACCTCGTCTACTGCTATATACTCATCGATTACAGGAGTATTGAAAGTGACTACAGCTGACATAACTGACATATCTGCACAGCTGCGGTAATTCTGGGAACTGGAACACGTTGGGATAACGGAAAAAGAGTCACCGACCAAAGCAAATCTACTACTTGAAGAATTTGAGAGTGAAATAAAATATAAAGATGGACGGTATGAAGTTTCCCTGCCATGGAGTGATCAAGCTGGAGAGCTAAACGACAACAAGGAGAATTCAGAAAGGAGACTCGGATAGTTAACCGCACGCCTCATGAGAAACAAGGCGTTTTTGATGGACTACGACACCACAATTCGGGAATACTTTATAAATGGCTTCGCAGAAAAGACCGTTAATACAGAGGAAGCCGGAAATTCCCTATATCACATGCCACATCAAGCGGTTGTGAGATAGGACCGACAAACAACAAAGTTGCGAATTGTATTTGATGCATCTTCTTGCACCACAAGGGAACTTTCTCTGAACGACGTCTTGTCCAGAGGAACAAACTTAAACCATGACTTGATCGATCTACTGATCGCGTTTCGTACGCACAACAACACAGTAACAGCTGACATCCAGAAGGCATTTTTTGCAAGTCACCTTGGCGGAGCAAGACAGAGACGCCTTACGTTTCTTGTGGTATGACAGTATACCAAAACAAGTACATTAACTACCACAAGTGGCGACGTGGAGAATGACCAGAGTTCCCTTTGGAGCAACATCAAGTCCTTTTCTCCTGGCAGCCACGGTGAGACACCATCGAGACCTAATGGAAAAGGAATTTCCTGAAACCACGAAGGTTCTAAAGGACCACCTCTATGTTGATGACCTGATAACGGGCGCGGAAACTTTAAAGGAAGCAGAAGTTCTCTGCAGAGAAGCAAATGAGATAATGAACAGGGCAGGAATGAATCTTCGGAAGTGGAAGTCGAAAAATCCAAGATTATTAGAGGAATTCAGGAAAGAAAGTTCCCGCCAAGAGGAACTAACCGAACTGGTTGGTCCAACGAAAATCTTAGGTGTTGGTTGGGAAGCACAAACAGACATGATAAAGTTCGATCTCACTTCTCTCATCAACGTTTTGTGCTCAAGAGAGGACAGCAAACGCTTTGTATTGCAAACATCATCTCGCATTTCTGATCTAATGGGAGTACTCGCTCCTGCAATAATCACTGTAAAAATTCTGTTTCAGCAGCTACAGGAGCGAGGAGTCGATTGAGATGAAACATTACCTTCTGACCTTTACGAAGAGTGGGATACATGGTGTAAAGACCTCATTGCATTGAAAAACATCGCGGTTCCAAGACTCATTGCTCTCGACTTCTCCAAAGACGAAACAGAAAAGGCGTTACATGTCTTCTGCAACGAAAGTGCAAGAGCATACGGAGCTGTAGCATACGTGACATAAAAAAAACAAAATGGGAAGAGGGTTGCTTTAATATAGAGAAATCGAGAGTGGCATCCCTCAAGCGTTTGACTTTTCCGCGACTAGAACGAATGGGGGCATTAATAGGCGCTCGACTGACGTAGTTCCTCACCAGCAAGTTGAAATTCGAAGGACTTCCAAAATATCTGTCGATGAAGTCTACGATTGTCCTGTATTGGACTCGTGGTTCAACAACCCTGTGGAAGCTATTCGTAGCCAATCGAATCACGAAAATCCAAGCTCTGGCGGAACCATGCGACGGGAGGCATTGCCCTGGTACAAAAAATCCAGCTGACCTCCTAACTCGGGTACTTATGACAAAGTCTTTAGTTCAGAGCAAGACAGGGTGGAATAAGCCCATCTGGTTGCATCGCTCCAAAACATCATGGTCAAGTCAAATTCAGGGTAAACCAGAATGCTATGAATACCTCGCGGAAGAAAAGAAACAGACTATTATACAACTCACAGTACCTGAAGATGATCAACTGGTGAGCTTGGAGGACTGCAGTTCATTTATCAAATTGATTCGTATGACGGCGTGGCTAAAGCGTTTACAAACAACGTAGAACAATAAGGCCAACGAAATGGTCTTTTAACGGGCGAGGAAAATATGGAAATTGAAAAAAATTGGATAAAAACAACACAGAATAAGGCCTTCTCAATGGAAATCAAATTCTCAATTGCAAGATCAATGACAAGTTCACAAGACTTCAAAAATCAAGATGCTTAACCCAATTATAGACTGTGATGGGATCGTAAGCGTTGGTGGCCGATCGCAATTTAGCGACAAAGAAGAAGTGAAACATCCAATTAATTTACCTACAGACCACCGATTCACCTTCCTTCTCATTGCTGAAGAACATCGTCGGCTACTGCACGCCGGAGGTCAAGACACGTTGACATAAATACGTGAAACTTATTGGGTTCTAAAGGGAAGGCAAGCCGTAAGGCTTGCCTTCCCTTTAGAACGTCGCAGTATAGCTTGCCAAAAACAAGGTTGTGCACCAGCCTTCGAGCCTGTCGCTCAACTGCCACCAGACCGAGTTTTAGGTGCGAACCGTTTCAAAAAGAGGGGTGGATTTCGCTGGGCCGCTGATGTGTCGACGTGACTGCGGAAGCTACAAGGTTTACATGGTCCTGTTTACCTGTGCCTTGACACGCGCGGTGCACCTCGAACGGGTGAGCGACCTAACGACAACAGCTTTTTTTTTTATTAGCATTCACACCCTTCGTGGCACGCAGAGATATCTTGAAAACGATTTATTCCGACAATGCCTCATTGTTCAAAAGTGCAGCCAAAGACATCCAGAGATTGTTTGAATCGATAGAAAGGAAGGAAGTGCAAACGTATACTTTGCAAACCACAGAATTAGATGGAAAACGATCGTAGCGAGAGCTGCCTGGTGAGGCGGGTTTTGGGAGAGACTAGTGAGGACAGTCAAGGTTTCGCTGCGTAAGGTTCTAGGCCGCAGTAATCTGAATTTTGAAGAACTGACAACTGTCCTCACGAAGGTAGAAGCAGTAGTCAACTCCCGTCCGGTGACGTTCATTTCCACCGATGCAAACGAAGGAGAGGCTCTCACTCCAGCACACTTTCTGGTGGGGCACAAATTGACCAACCTCCCCTCCCATCAAATGCCAGAAGATCAAGCAAGCCCCGGAAACTTGGCGCGAGGTTGAAAATTTCGAAACACCATTATGAATCAATTTTGAAGTAGAAGGAGAACAGAATGTTTGCTAGAACACCCCCCATCACTAAACCCCACATCACTAAACCCAGCAAGTCAAGCTGTATACAAACAGGACACCTGGTCCTTCTCAAGGACAATAGACTACCGCGACATATGTGGAAAAGCTGCAGGGTTAACGAGACACTCCCAGAAAGGGACGGAAAGGTGCGGTCTTGTAGGATAATTACACCCAGTGGCCGTGAACTTTGCCAGCCGATACAGTTATTATATCCCCTGGAATTGCAAGAATGAGCTTTTGCTCATTTTCGGGAGAGTTTGTTGAATAATTATTGCAAAAAGAAGTAACGACAGATTTATCTATAGACGACGACGACAAGAACGGAGGGATCGATGGTGACTCCGGCAGCAACTGGAACGAACATGTAAATTCTGTAGATAAATACTTCCTTCTGAACGAACTCGCTAAATTTAATCCTCTTAACGAAGATACGTAACAGCATATACTTGTTTGCTCTGCACAAGCTTTCGTCCCTTTTCTAACGCCTGCTGTCTAAAATAGCAGCTAAGCTCATTAATGGGCTTAAATCTGCAAAATAGCACGATAGGAGGCATCTCGTTACTTTCGAAACCGGCGCCTCGTGGAGACATCTCAGCGCTCCGAATCACTGCCGGCAGAGGGCGCTGGGTGTCACTCTACTATGGCGCCTCCTAACCACCTGCTCTCAGCTAATAAACTAACATAATACGCACCTCATACGCATAGCTCGGGTGGCAGAAATAAGACTAAGTGCAATGTGAAGAAAGCCGAGGTCTGTTATGATTTACAGGTTAGAATAAAGTGCCTTTAGCGCTGAAATCTAAAAAAAGGCAATTTTCTTAATGATGTTTTCTAAAATAATTATCCTTCCTTATTAAGCCTGGCAAACCTGTAAATGTGTTCAAACAATTTCTGGATCTTAGGCAACACTACTTTGAATCTTAGCAAAGATGTTCGAAATTTAATTGAACCTGTTGAACCGCAAGTTTCGAAAAAAAAGTGTGGCATACATGGTGAAACCACGAAGTTTGAAATGAAGGGAAAATAACGTTTCACCCATGCCAAATGTAAAAAAAAACGGTTTTCTGCTATTAAAAGGGACGCAAAATTATACAGTTCATTAGGGGAGCAAACAGCTGTCCCAATCAAATAGCCCAGTATAATTCCTCACTCCTACACTGCAGAGTGCGTTTTGTAACATTTTTGTAAAACGCCTATTCTATCCCAATCACTTTTCGCACACTCCTGCAGTAAAGGCACGCTGTCGGCTCTAAATACTGCATATTTTTGGTAGCACAGGAAGCGCTCTCTATCGACTCCGAAAGCAATCTCTATAGCATAATTTCAGTAGAGAAAACTGGATGGCGCCACCACCTCGTGGAGCTCTGTTTCCCAACAGAGAGAAAAAAATATAGGCTGGATAAACTGAGCATGAACGTAAATAATTATCTAGAATAAGTCTGACTTTGAAAGGGTAAAGCTAAAAGACAAGAAACATAAACAGCACAATTTGGGGCGAAGTGATAAAATGAAAAATAGAGTTGGTTAACGCACCGAATAAGAGAATCCAGAAGTGCTTGATGTCCCAAATCATTCTCAACAAAATTTGAGCTTGAAAGGTAGTTTTCAACTCTTTCATCCTTTTTCCTAATTATTCCCCACACAAGTAATTTTTAATATAGCAATATTTTACATTTGCACTTTTTATTGCCTACTTATCGCACAAAAACATACCGGAAGGTATGTTGTCCGGCAAAATACCTTACAATTTGCCATATGCTTTAATTGATCTGCTTTATTAGATTAATAGAAAACAATCCTGCCCCAAGTACATTCCTATATTTATGCACAATCGTAATCTTTTCTTTTAATATGTTTCCCTTAGAGATAATGATTTTACCTCCATAGCTGAAAA